CGTCGCTTGTAGTCGCCTAAGATTTCGAGCAATTTGACTGCGAGTGCTGATTGCACTAACTGACAACCGCACGCATATAATCGAATTAAGAGTTGCGAACGAGTGAAACGAATTGTGTATACGATCTGTCCGATAATTGATTGAATTACGTCGTTGGAATAACACTACATTAGGCGAGGCGCGACAGGAAGCTATGCGCTAATAGCGCTTAAATGCCTTCCGGTCGACACCAGCGGCTTCCGCATAATCTAATGGGTCTAGTGAAGACGAGACAAGCGACCGGAACTGTGCACTAGTGCTGGCAGTGCTGAAGCGTCAGCGCGTTGCTGGACACTCACATTTATATGATCATCCTTCCTGTTTTAGATGACGACCAGAAGCCACCGAATGACCCGGACGAGGATGCGGCTGCGAGAATGCGCCTCAAGCGAAAACTGCAGAGGAACCGCACGTCTTTCAGCCAAGAGCAGATTGAAGCTCTCGAAAAAGGTAACTTGAACGAAGATTTTATTATTTCTTCATTTTTCGCTTTCTCCTGTATTCTCAATGGTCAATACAAAGTGAACTCAATTGAACACACTTGAGTCCTTTGTTGGAAGACGTTTCTCGTTATTGCGCAGCGCAACATGTTTTCTACTCTTGGAACAAACACTCGAGACACCGGCGATCATTTGCCTGTTTTCTTAGCGTGATTTCTAAGGCACTGCGAATAGCACTTGTTTCAGAATTTGAACGAACTCATTATCCTGATGTTTTCGCTCGAGAGCGACTAGCCCAAAAGATCGGCCTTCCAGAAGCACGAATACAGGTAAATCTCTTGAGACCAAGCAGTGCAGTTACTCTTTTTTGCGTTCGGTAAAATTCTTTTTGCGTTCCCTTTATCCTACTCTTAGACATAATGGCCCATAACGGTTGCGTAACATTCTGCCCACAATGATTTCGCGCACGTCGTATATCATAGTAAACGATTGCGAAGTACTCTGGGCAGCGGCATGATAAGATCAACCCTGATTCTCAAGTGTGAACCAAGCAATTCCGAGGCCTTTTCTCTACAGCTCAGCAGTTCGCGACGCTCCTTTGAAAGAAAAGCGCTTCATCAAGTTAACGGTTCAACTGGCATGCCGAGAGTGGCGTGAAGAGTTTCCGGCAACCTTGGGACTAAGCGCTGTCAGTGACGAACCGTTGCGCGACTGAGTGTCACTCAGACTCATCCTGATAACGCTCTCAACTGTCCGCCTGTCCGCCTGTCCTTTTCAGTCGTCGGTCGTCAGTGTAGTTAGCGATCTGCGCAATAGTCGCAGTGGTTCAGTGTTGAGGAGACAAACCAAACCCAGGGCCTTATTACCAAGGGCAGGTGCGAAAGCAATTCCCCCACTTCATAGTCATTTATCTTGATTAGCGCTGAATTCAACATCTGAGCCATTTCTCCTGTGAGCAGCTGCACAGTACTGAGAACTGCTATGAGTCTTTTAGGTTTGGTTTTCAAATCGTCGTGCAAAATGGAGGCGGGAAGAAAAGCTGCGCAACAAACGACCTGGTGGACTTATGGATACTTCGATGTCAAATGGCACACCAACGCCAACGGGTTCGGGTCCCGGAAGTGCTATTGATGGATCACCTGCACCACCACAAAATCGTTTTCCTCCAAACCCCACTGCAGTTAGTACGAGTTTCGTACCGTCTGCGGGTCAGATGTACACAGGTCTAGCACCTCAGGCTATGGACCCTTATGCGTAAGTTGTTGAGCATTCTTAGGAAAATCATTTGCAGGATCTCAACGGGTTACTCCAACCTATTATTTTGCATGAATCGCCAAACAAAAACAACTGCAAAGTCAAAATTGTTGAATTAGAGTTTTTTATGTGCTGAATTGAACACTACTTCTAGAAAACCCATATAAAACTTTTGAATCAAATTTCGCTTACCAAGTGACGAGTTCACACTCTGTTGTGATGCTCCTTTTCTAAATAGTTCGTCAGCACTTCTGTTGTTCAATATTGTTGAGAGGGCCCAACCAGTTTCGTGTTGCTAAAATTTTCGAAAAACTTCTGTAACCCTTGTGATCTAGTTCTGGACTGTGACTGTTCTCCTCGAAAGGGGTCGTCGTCACACTCATACGAGCTCAGAAATTTCAGATTCGGATTCGCCAATGCAGGCCTCGGCATGGCACCTTACCAACCGACAGCAGATTTTAGCTCCCATCACATGTTCAGTGCCAACACCCGATCACCCTACGACGCTTTCCATGTGAGAAAAAATCTTTGCGACTTAGTAGACTAAGAAAAAACTTTGTCACTTTAGCCATACGCTCGACCAATGCCAACCAGTGGCGGACCGTCATTCCAACCTTCAATGAATCCAGCCACGACATCCGTTGGAGGTGAGTGCGCTCATTCAGTCCATTCATCTTTGATACCGTTCCATGACGTTCTCAGCCCTACCGTAGTTGTATGCTTTGTGCGCAGTGTGCGTCGCGACAGGTGCGGTGGTGTCACTTCAGATTTCGTCTCTACCAAGACATTTTTT